TCCCCCCTTTCCTGACCAGCTTCACTTCAGCACTTCTTCATCCCTGCTCTCTTTTCTCAGCAATTTGTAAATGCCTTTTATTATCCCTGATTTTTTACAACATCAAGTTGGAGCAAACCTGGTCTAGTGGAAGGTGTCCCTGCCCATGGCAGGGGGTTGCTGGATGGTCTCCAAGGTCCCTTCCAGCACAAACCATTCTGTGATTCTACGACCTGCTGTGAATTCACAAAGTAAAATTTAACAGAAGAGCTCAGGGTAAGTCAGCAATGCCCTTTCACGGTGTTTTCTGCCTCACCAATATTTGTCTTGAAGTAAAGACTTTTCATGCTATTTTCCACACTATTCAGATGCCACGTTATTCCTGTCTCGCTGACAAAACTCAGCTGCTGTTGTGTATCCACCAAAAAGCACTAGAGAGGGAGTTTAGAGCCTTCAGTCTCCTCAGAGGCTTTAATCCAGAGCCAGACCCCCTGAACATGCACAGGCAGGTGTTTGTCCCAGCCCAGCTGAGTGGAAGGTTGCTCAGGTGACCAGGGACCAGCAGAAGGGATGAGCTGCCATCTGTTCAAGGTGGCAGATACAAGTGATGGCCTCCCCACACCCAGACACGGGGTTTATTCTCTCCCTCCTGCACTCCTTGTTCTCAAACTGGCAGTTTTAATGACTGAAGTATTTATATATTGACCTCAAGAGCTTCTGGTGCACAGGGTTCAGAGGAGGGGATTGCAGGGTCAGATGCAGATGGAGAGGGAGACAGGACAACACACCAAATCAGACCCAGGCTCTTTGCTCCTGCCTGGGATGAACACTTAGCACTGGAGCTGCCCCAGAGCAGTGCACACATAGGGGAACCTGCTGATGGACCCTGCACATCCCACCCAGCCGGGTGTCCAACTTCCCAAAGCTTCTCCTGCCCAGGGCATCCCCAGCCTCATCCTCTCTCCTCTTGGGAGGGGGGTACACACACCCTGCCCTGCTGTGAACATCTCCCACACCAGGGTGGGGTCCAGGACACCTTCAAGAGCACAAAGGGAGGTAGAAGAGGGTAATGCAAGAGCTCAAGGAAGATGAAACAGCCACTCAAAAGCTACCTGGGCAATTCCCCGTGGGAGGAAGGGAAAGGAGCCACTTCTCACCCACAGGCACAGGTTCCTACATGGGTTCCTACATGATCCCAGAGGAATGGGAATGGATAAAGGCAGACCCTGAGATGAGCTCAGTTGGGCAGAGCATGGTGCCAATAACACCAAGTGTGGGTTTGATCCCCATGTGGGCCATTCACTCACTGATCCTTGTGGGTCCCTTCCAACTCAGAATACTCTGTGATTCTGTGACTCTGCCCAGCCCTTCCCAGGAAGCCCATGGCTCCTGCCAAAGCTGGATGCTCTCTCCTGAGTCTCTGTTCCCTCCAGCTCCTCACTCCCTACCCAGTCACACAAGCACAGAAACCCTCTCTTTGCAAACACAGCAACAAACTGAAAAGTTCATTTATGCGAATCTCCATAAAGTTGAAGATAATCTGGACCACAATTTGTGCTTATGTAAATGTCAGCACACAGAAAAATAGGTTTGGATCAAAAAGACAAGTTGTAGCTAATACCCAAAGTAAAATACACACTTTCCTTTCCGCCCTTCATTAGCTTTCTCTGAACATCTGCTGAACAAGAGAATTCCAGCCATAAAAGTGACTCCAGAAATTAAAAATCCTCTGAATTTCCAGATCAGTGACTGCACATACAAAGCCCTGCATTTCAAAGGGCACCCTCGTCCTTCTGTGTGTGGGAGCCATCTGATTAGAGAGCAGCAAAAAGCAACAGAACAGCAAAAAGCAAACCCCACACAACTTGTGCAATGAATTAGGGAGCAATAATAAACTTCTAGAACGAACAAAGCGCACATACAGTTCTCAATCAGGCCACAAGAAGACTAAATAGACAATTTGGGGCAAACCCAAGTCTTTCCATGGCTACTTCATGAATTAGAATGAGGAGAAAACTGCACCAGGACAGTGCCTGCTGTGGTGACTCCCCAGTCCTGTGGAACATTCCCGGGGTGCTCTTTCAACCTCCATGAGAAACAAGTGGCTGACACAGTGTAGGTTTGTGCACTGCTACCCAAATTAACTCCAAAACTCTGTGAGACCAGCAAAGTGCATCATCTGGGAAGTGAGGAGGCATTGTGGGAGGCAGGCTGGGTCATGTGTGGGACAGCTCTTCTTGCACAGAGAGGAGTGAGAGGCAGCCTGGTGTTATTTCCAGGATGGCCCACCAGAGAATTGTCATTCAAAAAGAGTGATTGTGTCAAATCCTTCCTTTACCAGGCCCAAGGCAGTGTTGTTTAGGTTGTTTTCACGGCCAATGTTTACAGAGATAAATAAATACAGACACATAAAACATGAGGGTTGCTGTACCACAGAGGGCTGTTATTTCCAATATGCTTTACACTACATGACTCACAAACCAAACCCACAGCAATGGTATGATCAGATTGCTCATTTAATCTTTACAGAATGGAGCTTTTTAAGAGATTCAGTTTTTTAAAGATGGCTTCAACTCCCACTGAAACCCAGCCAAGTCCTATAATGCAGAAAAAATCCATAGCTGGCTGCACCCAAACTGGGGGGTAGTTTCTCTCTTCGGCCAAACGCTTCCTGATGCTTCCCAAGGTGCAGATTTTCCACATGCTGCACTACAGGACACTATATTTTATGATTTTGTGCTAAACCACGGGTCAGATTTACAGTGAAATACGACCTTACACAACCTCTGGGTGGATTGTTCTGCAGGGGCTTGGCCAAGAGCTCAGGTGGGGTTGGTGAGGCACCAGCACACAACTCCCCCAGCCAAAAATCAAAGAGGAGGAGTGAACTCATGTTTGCACACTCCAAGGGGGCAGCAGGATTTCAGCTTTAGGTTTTCCTCAAGTGCCCAGAAGGAATGATGATCCAGGCACAGAAAATTCCTGGCGGGGGAGCCAGACCAGCCGCTCCCAGGGACTGTCCCAGCACACCTCACTGTTCCCTTTCAGGGGTGATGGGGGTTCACCCGGCCCCCACATCTTGCTCTGAACCCCTGTCCTGCTGAAGCACAACACACAGACATCACTCAGAGAACTGGGCACATTGTGCTCCTCTCAAAACCACATGTACCAAAGATACACTTGACCCAAAGTTACATAAGCACTGTGCCAGAGCTATTTTTTAGCCAGACTGATCAGTGTTGCTATAAATCACCCCAGGATGCAGAGGCCAGACAAGATGTCACATTTATGTGCTCAGCTTTCTGCCTGCCCTAGGAAAACGTTTGTGATATGGGCAAGATCTCTATTCCCTCTCTGCCTCCCCTGGCCTGTAGGTGCATCGCTGCTCCTCAGCACTGAGCAGGCTCCAGTACAACACCAGAACGTGCTCCCAGTGCCCGGAGCAGCCTGAGGAGAGCACAGAGCTGTCCTGAGCTCCCAGCTGCTCTCACAACCCCAGCCAGCCCCAAGAGCAGCCCCCAGAGCACAGCAGAGCAGGGAGCCACCGAGGAAGGGCAATATCTTATCACTTCAGCTCTCCCTGTGTATTTGTGGGGAGGGCAAACTGCATCACAATTACTTGTCCTAGCCCAAGGTCCTGGTGTGAGGGCTCCTGTCCTGCAGCTGTTGCCTCTTTTTAAATAACTGCCTAGATCTCCCCAGAAACTTCTGCCCTAGCAAATCCAGGAGCAGGCAGTTTCAACAGTTTGATTATAAATAACATGCAGCTTTCTACCTTATTCCTTGTTATTCTTACGCTTCACCACATTTGTCAGCCAACGGTGCTGCTCCAACATCTCGTGGTGCCGGGCACAGGGAGGACGGGTTCCTCATGCAAGTGTGTAAGGTAAGGAGTATAAATAACACTTTCCTGCTTCTCACTGTGCCCAGTGCCATCCCCAAAGCCCAGACAGTGACTGAGCCAAGGCTGGGCACAGGGAAGGGCACTGCCAACTGGCACAGGGAGGGCTCGCTGCGTCCCTGCACCTGCCTCACCTCCCCGGTGCAGAAGTCAGAGCAGCACGAGCTCGGGTTCGGCACTCGGGGCACACCAGCTCTGGGATCAACACGGCACAGAACCGGGCATCAGCTTCATATTCAAAACTCAGAGAGGGAATCACACTGACACGGCCAAAAAAACATTAACTCTGCTCATTCCGACACAAGAAAACTTGCAGGTGTTAAAGCTACAGAGGCTGGAAGCAATAAACAGGACTCTTGGTTGAGAGACCAACCCCAGCTGGGAATCTATGAGGAACAACTTGAAAAAAATCAGCTTCCACAGTGAGTGTTTTAATTAGGTAGCTCAGCCAGATTTCTTATGTCTTTACAACGTGTTTCTCTATCCCTCACAGCATCTTTAAAACTCCCTTTTGACATCTCGGAACTACTGAACCTGGTGAGATTTTAATAGAAATCCCTTTGCTGTGCTATAAAGAGAAGCATTACTTGAGATTTTAATTAGCAGTCGTCAGTGCTGAGCCATAGGAAATACTGAATACTTTGCTTAACTTCATAGAGAAAGTGCCTTTGCTTTCTGACCTTCTGCACTCCAATGATGCAACACACTTGAGCCATTTAAAAACTCCTTTCCAAAAACCCAACTCTGGAGGAGTAGTAAAAGCCATTCCCTCAATCAATACACACTGTGCTGCTCCAGCCCATGTTCGCCCACTGCACACCCTGCTCGTTTGATGCAGAAATCGTGCCTCTGTCATCTCCTGACCACTGCTCTGAATCTCAAAGGCAGCATTCTGTTATTACGATTTCCTCCCATCCTGTGCAAGGTACTCCGGGCTTTGAACACACACGGAACTTGAAAATCAGGTGCTAAATTGATTCAGACCCCTTTGCACAATAACACAGAGAAAAGCACGGGTCTGGCATGCGAACTTCAAGCGAGCCGGGCACCTGCTCTGAGCCTCGATTCAACACCCACGACCATTCCCAAAAGGCATTTAAAGCAGGAGAACTATTCCTACCATTCAGCTGCCTGTAGACTATGTCCTCTAGGAGCGAGAGCCTCTTCAGCACCGCATCCTGGATGGAGCTGCCGCCGTGGGCTGTCGAGTTGGCCACTTCTGCCCTGGGATGGATGTCATGGAAGGAGTCTCCACTCTTGGCCGTGATGGGTCTGCACTTGGCCAGGAAGAGGACGAAGCCAGCCACGGCGATGAGGTTCAACACCAGCAGGACTTTGACTCTCCTCAGAGAAGCCATCAAACTTCCCGAGGGGCCCCGCCAGCCGCAGGGCTACGGGAGCGGGCCCCGCTGCGCGCACATCGCGGGGCCGGGGACGAGCCGCGGCGGGAGCGCGGGGAGCGCGGGGCCGGGGGAGCAAAGGGCTGGCGAGCAGCGGGGCTGGCGAGCAGCAGAACCGCTCGCCCAGGCTGAGCAGCGGAGCCCGCCCCGGACTATGGCCCCGCAGAGAAGGCGCGGCCGGGGCCGCCCGCCCCGCTCCGCCCGCCGCGCTCCCTCCGCCGCCGCCACTTCATGCCCCGCGCTGGGCGCCCGCGCCGGGGCTGCGGGGCGGCCGCGGGGCCGCCGAGCGCTGCGGCAGCACCGGCATCACCGCCCAGCCCCTGCCTGCTTCCTCTCCTCCCGCCTGCCGAGCCTGCCTCCTCGCCTGCCTCCTCTCTCTCTCCCGCCTCCGCCGCGGGGGGGGCGCGGGGCCGCTGCTGCGCTGCGCGCTCGGGGCATCCCCCGCCGCCCGCACCGGGGGGAGCGCGGGGCTCCCGCCCCTCCCGGGCGAGGGGAGGGGGAGGAGGAGAGGGATGAAGAGCCCCCGCCCCCGCGCCGGGACCGCGGCTGCGGCACAGCCCCCGCACAGCCCGCGATGGAGGCCCGAGCCCGGCCCGGGGGCCGCTCCCGCTTCCCCCGCAGCCCGGCCGGGCATCGGCATCGGCATCGCCCCCGCGGCGGGTGCGGGGCGGGGGGCGCGGGGCTCCAGCGGGTCGAGGCGGGGCCGGTGGCGGTAACACACTCGGGCTCGTCCGTGTCGCTGAAAGTTTGAGCCCCCCAGGCCGGTGCGGGGTCCGCTCCCGAACTCTGCGCCCCGGCTTTCCCGCATGGAAGCCCTACCCTCGCCCTTGGAGCCTCACCCTCCCCCTTGGAACCCCGGCCTTCTCTAACAGGCACGGAATCACAACGGGAGCATCCCGCTCCCCAAACGCGCTGTGTCGGCGCCGGGGAACGGCTTTGGAGCTGTCCCCGCCGCGGTGAGCGAGGATCGGCTGTTCGTCAAACACTAACACGAGGTGGAGTGATAAAAACATCATACACTAGAATTCACATCCATTAATGCCAGAATGGTGAATATTCTCCTGAGAGCACAGCCCCCACTGAACAACCCCGTCAACCCCGCCGTTCCCAGCTCTATCCACGTGCCACAGTTAACCCCGCTTTTCAGAGAGATGACACCAACACGGATTAAAAATTGAAGCAACCTTGAGTCATTGTATCCTACAAGGCAACTTTTCAAAAGGTAAGAATAACCCCGCTCACCCCCGAGCCATAATTTAAAACAAAACAAAGCAAAAAAATTAAAACAAAAAAAATCAATGCCATGGAAACAAACCTAAAATTGCTTTGGAGGATTTGGAGCTTTAATTTAGTCCTAGCTGCACATGAAATCTTTTATGGCTTCTACATTCAGAGCCAGGACCCTGCTACAAACCTGGAGAAGAGTGACAGGCACATAACTCATAGTCAGACCCTAAAACACCGTGGTCAGTCCATCATCCACACTCAGCTTCATTATTCTGCTAAGAGGGTGAAAAGATGTGAATGATCTGGGTGACATGAAACTGGGAATACCTTACAAATTGCTGAAAACCAGCTTTTGGCTGGCACTGAGGGGAAGCTTGGCCCAACACCTGCAGCTTTGGGGGTTCTTCAGGAGTGTTTTGTGGCACATGGTAAGCACAAGTTTTGTTTCCAGAGGTGACAACTGGGATGTTTTCTCTAGATCGATAAAAGCACTTTTTATTAAACAAATAAACAAACACCAGCTCAGCTTTGCAGAGCAGTTTACCAAAAAGGGAAACCACATGGCCTGAACTGTCAGGAGCAGAAATATTTGTGCAAACAGAAAACTGCCTGCTGCTTATTCTGAAGCAGCCTGGGCTGGAGACCCATTCCTGTTGTCCTTCATTACCCAGTGCTCCCACTGAAGTCAGGTTGGTGCATTGCACAGAAACAGCAAGATCTATTTTAATTATAAAATAGCTTGGAAAAAGCTGGATTTAAAGACATTTGGCACATGGCTATTACATATGATCCTATTGCAAAAAAAAAAAATACTCTTAGGATCTTAAAAAAAAAAAGAATACAAGAATTTGAAGCAGCTCCTTGCTGAAGGACAAGGGAAGTATTTTGTCCCCACTTTCCCCAAGAAAGGAGCAGAACTGTCCCCAAAGGAAGCAGGGAGGGAGAGAGAAAGCCACAACTCTCTTTAGGGTGACAGCCACAGGACACCTGGCATTGTGAGTGTGTGTGGGCCCAGGGAGGGCAGCGTGGCAGGAGAAAAGGAATAGGCACAAAAAAATGCAAGGAAAAAATATGCTGTGTGGGAAATACCATGAGAGTTAAAAATTAAAAATACACATAACATCCCCCTGCTCTGTCTGGGAGGATTAAGTTCAAACACCTCCCCAGGTGCCTGTTTTTGTTGCTGCTTTTCTTCCTGTTAAGGGAGAACCAAACAGCTCCCCTAAAGCGACATGGGGGAGAGCAGAGCACTTCACACAACACACAATAAGGATCAAAAAGTCCCCTGAATCACAGAATCACAGAATGAAAAAGGTTGAAAAAGACCTCCAAGATCATCAACCCAGCACCATCTCAAGTGCCACATCCACACGTTTCTGAACACTTCCAGGGATGGGGACTCCATCCCTGCCCTGGGCAGCTATGCCAGTGCTTAACAGTCCTTTCAGAGAAAAAATTTTTCCAGATATCCAACCTGAACCTCCCCTGGCACAACTCAAGGCCATTTGATCGTGTCCTGTCCTGAGGATGGACACCGACAGGGTCAGGCTGTAGGAAACCTGACAAAGTTCTGCTTTGTGGCATCAAAGTCCCGAGAGCAGCTCCCCACGTGCCCTGGAGCATGAATTTCCTGTGAGCTTTGCACCACCACAAGACTGAACTAAACTTCAAAACTGTAGTTTTGCACTTCTGCTACAAATGTGAAAAGGTTCATCAAGACCCCACTCTCAAGTCAGGGTTCAATCAAGGACTAGCTCAGCCTCCACTGGAGGGCCTGGGCTTTTTCTCTTCTTTTTTTTTTTCTCATTTTTTTCCATTTTCACTACATTCCTGCCAAAAAAAAGGCATGAAACATTGTTACTAAATAGAGAAGAAGAACTAAAGGATATTTCTCAGTATCGGGGAGAGAAATCAGTTTGCATGTCTAATAGAAAAATTCTATTTTTGCCCATTCCAGTGGAGTTCTGTGAACAGCACACACACACTTTTCAAGTGCTAGCCAAAATAATTACTTCTTTCCTTCTGTGGGGAGAAAAAAAAAATCCCCTAAATCATGAATATTCAATGGATTGGTTAATGACATAGTAATGCTTTAGCTCAAATCTCTGCTCCTTAAAATACAGCCAGCACAAGCTGCCAGTTACAAGAAGACTTAAAAACACAAGAATAACTTGATTTCCAGAAGTTATCTCAGCCTGATCGCTTTGCAAGTATGTGATGGTGGCATGATACCATGACATATCTGGGGCAGACTCTCCTCACATTCTGGGAGATGTAAAACAGGCAGGAAAAAATAGCTTTTGCTACTTACTGGAGCCAGTGCCAGTGCTGTGTGTTCTCCAGGGCACAGGGCAAAGGTGCCTTCCCTCAGCTCCACCAGATGTTTGGGTCTTTTAGGTAAATTTGCTTGAATTGCATAAATCTGTGACTAAATCCCTGTATGAAAGCCGTGATCTGCATGAGGAAAAACCCCCAAAAATAAACTCCCCCCCTCCCTAAAAGGTTCAACTTAAAGCCATGAGTTGTTTCCTTGAAATCTTAGAGTTCTGGCTGGGGTGTTGTTAGTGACACTGGATTATTTCTTTGTTTGCAGGCAGTGCTCAGGAGTTGCTCATCTTCCCTTTTCTCCCTCAGATTCTTAGGAATTCCTGATTATACAGCTTAACTTTGTTACTTTGCTGCCCAAAACCACCTCTGAGAAAGTCCAGCCCCCATCTGGGAGGTGAATTTTAGCCTCCATATCGTCCATGGGCTTTCCCACTGTGTTTTCTCCCTGCAAGGGTCACCAACATCCCTGAATTGCTCTGTGCTCTCCATCCCTTGGCCATGGGAGGCCTGGGCTGGAAAGAGGAGTAAACAATTGCAACAAAAGCTATCTTTTGTTTTCAGAAGCTGATATTAAAAAGTTGATGGCACGTTGTCTGCTCTCTCTGGAGTCATTTTTGACAGTACTTTAGGCATGTATTTACCATCAAGGAGTGAACCCTTTATCTCCAGCCTTCACTTTCCCCCACTATGGGAACAGCCAACACATAAAAGTAACTTTCTCCAGTTTTATCTTCAAAGTTGGGAACATATTTAGTTCTGTGTTACAATAACTCTATTCATATTTCATGAATTTTTAAGTTCAGGTCGTGAGCGTGGACAGCTCATCACTGACACATCAGGGAAATGCTGGGAAAAAACAAGCAACTTATTGTGCTTTTAGCTGATGAGATTGCTTTATGGTTCCCTTGAGGATATTAAAAAGATCTTTGCATTGGTTATCAATAAAGATCTTTCAGGATCAGCATTTATGAACCTTCTAGAACGGTCTCAACTCTGGATTTACTTCAGAAATGAAGGAACTCAGAAAAAGCAGAATCAGAGCTTAAGGCTCAACTATTCTTTAGTTTTGCTGCTTTGACTTCAATATTCAGCTTGATGACCAGAATCTGATTCTTAAATCATTTTATAATTAGAGCTGTTTTGAAAAGTTTCAGCTTCTTTCTTGAAAAAGAGGGGGGAAAGGAGAAGAGCAAGTTCATTGAAATTTTGATAAATTATTGAAAAAATCAGAAAATCCATTTTAAACATTGACTTTTTGTGGGACTAGAAAATAAATTCCCACTTATTTCTTTTTATTACAGAAGATACTTATACAGCCTACCACATTTCAACCCCTAATCATCATCTCATATTCTCTCAGAACATCTCAGCTGAGCCAGGGAATACTGTTCCTTTATGTTACAGGGGCAAACAAAGAGGTGCCTGAACACCTTTGACAAAATCACAGAATCATGGAATGGTTTGGGTTGGAAGGGACCTTAAAGACCATCCAGTTCCACCCCCTGCCATGGGCAGGGACACCTTCCACTAGCCCAGGTTGCTCCAACCTGGCCTTGGACACTTCCAGGGATGGGGCAGCCACAGCTTCTCTGGGCAACCTGTGCCAGGGCCTCCCCACCCTCACAGGGA